ACCTATTAAGATTAGAAGGAGAGGACAACCAATAGTAATTTCTTCTGGATTAGATAAATGCAATGTTGTCAATTATAGGGGTTCACTGAGTGAGGCCCCATTATGTCAGTAGTGTGATAGAAGGCACAGTGGTCAATGTTACAGAGCATTAATTAGGTATTTTTGTTGTGGTCAGTTTTGACATTGGATTGCTGAGTATCCACAAGGTGGTTTAATAGGCTTGCCATTATAAAGGGCTTCTATGTCTCTCAAAGTAAAGGGGAAGGAGTGTATAAATTTTATGGCTTTACCTTTTATACATTATATATGTAGAATTTTAGCATGATGCTTAATTTATGCAACTTTGGGGGAATTCCAAAATGTCATTAATTTTTAAAAATGATGGTTGAGTTGTTAAATAGGAAAATAGTTGGGTTTTCACTTGAATACGGTTATTATTTTATTCTAGTTCATCAAAATTTATTATTCCTTAAGTAAAGCCCAATCTAAACAACTTTGATTAGTGTAGACAATATGTCTACTTCAGTGTCATTGTTTCATTGCTTTGATGTAGCCACTATTGGTACATGATTATTGTAGAATCATAATTTGTAGTTTTGTAATTTATTCCTTAAGTTTAAATCTATATGATCTAAAGCTTAAATTAGGCTACCTCTTGGTTAACTAATCGGGTTGCTTTTATGATTCATATTTTTATTGATCTTAGTTTAACTTATTTTGAGTATTAAATTTTACAGTTTTCCAATTTTAAATGTAATAAATGAATTTAGACATCAAGATTTAAACCACTCGATAAATTTCAACTACAATTGATAAGTATTTTGACAAGATTGTTACTGTGTTAACAATCCTCCATTTCATTATTACAAATTTGTAAAATATATATTATTTTGATGGAGCTCAGATATGAGGTTGAGTGTATAGGGAAAGTTGCAGATGGAAGTACTCCTTATCTTTAGTTGCATTCATTAGTTTTCGGTGTACATGTAAAGTAATATTTATTTATTTATTTGTACATATAAAGTAATATATATGAGGTACATGTTTAATACTGAAAACTTGTTCCTCATGGGAGGTTATTCTGTTGTAGGGCTTCTACATCTATTTTATCATTGATGATGTTGATGTTGATGTTGCTGTAAACTATTACAGTGAGTTATAGAATTTTTTGAAGTCACCATTATTTCTCTTCGGCCAATATAAATGACGTCTTCGCAGGTTTTTGAAAACTATTGAATGTTAAGACTTATTGTACCCAATTCATAATAATAATATGACTTTAACTCGCCTCACACAATAATAATGTACATAATCTATAACTAAATGAATACACATTTCAAGGAGACCACATGAAAGAACACTACAAAAGTCTCTCTAAGGCCTAATTATCATTATATTATAATTAGTTTAATTTTTTAATCTTGCCACTTAAACTCCCCTATAGACAAAAGTATCATGTAGCTAAACTTGAAAGATCTTAATATGATTTGATTATCCTAACCTAAATTATAAAGTGGATGTCATAATTTTAGTGATACATAACCTTAGTGTTATCCCCCTAAAAAAAGGATAAATAGTTATCATACTTAATAACAAATCAATGTAAAAGTACAAAATCCTATCATTAAACATAAATTTAATATTATAATAATATTCTTCATCTTGTCTATATGATATTTAATTCATATGCACTTTTGAATTATGCTAAAAAATCTACCTTTAATTTCCTAGACCTTATTGGCTATATAAGGAGATATTTAATTTGCAATATAAACCTATATATCCTATATGCTTCCAACTTTAAGCAGTAGGCCATGATCTAATGGTGCAAGGCTTTATGTTAGTGGAAGAATATCAATAAACAAAATGATAAATCCATCAAATCCTTCAATAATTATTATTTAATATATTGATATCTATATCAATTGAATATTATGAGGTCAGTTTGGATACTTGACAATCTCTCATTGCATCATGGGCTTGCTTGGTGGGGGACATGAAGTCCATTCTAATTGATGTAAGTTGAAAGCTTCATATGATAGTGACTTAGGCTTAGGTGTTAATTATGATCATTTTAATATAATTATTTATTATAATAATAATCATCATCATCATCATCATCATTATTATTATTATTATTATTATTTTGCAATGAATAATTGTCAATTAAGTTACATGGAAGTGAAGTAAAGGAGATTCTTCTATGGATTTTGTAGCTCATTTTAGGGCAGATTTTTTTATTTTTAAGAGTTACATTAGTTGATCAAAGGTTGGTTTTATTAGGTAAGTGAAAGGACTGTTAATTTTATTAAAAAATTTGTTGATTGAGATTGTTATGCTTTCATGTTTATTTTATTAGAGCTTGATAGCAACTTGTTTTGTAGCCACAAGGTTTATTTTATATGAGAAAAAGTTACTTTAAAGTATATTGTGGAAGGTTTTATCTTGGTACAAAGCATGAAGAAAGCTAAAACAATTGTAGTATAAGGTTGTAACATTGATTCTTGGCCACAAGGTTTATTTTATATGAAAAAAGTTACTTTAAAGTATATTGTGGAAGGTTTTATCTTGGTACAAAGCATGAAGAAAGCTAAAACAATTGTAGTATAAGGTTGTAACATTGATTCTTTCCTCTCTCTCTCTCTCTCTCTCTCTCTCTCTCTCTCTCTCTCTCTCTCTCTCTCTATTTTTAATAATTTTTTGGCTGCTTTTTGGAAATATGTCATATTAAATTTATTACTGGTGAGAAAACAAATGCAGCATAAGGATCTAACATTGTTTGAACTCTTTTTTTTTTTTCTTTTTGAGGAGGGTGATCACTAAAATGCAACCCATCATGATTTTGAATTTTTTTTTCAACCATTGTATTACATATTCGAGCGTAATGAGCTACTTTTTTAATAAATAAAAATTTTATTTTGTGGAAATAGCATAAGTTTTTTATTTATTCAAATAATATATTTAGGGGTATTATGAGTCGAGCTTAGTTCACAGCTAACGCAAGCTTAGTTCACTTATAAATCTCATGGTATGCTCGAACTCAACTCAAGATCATATCATACACTGAACTCAAATTTAGTCTGATGGATTTAAATTAAGTTTACTGGAATGATAGATATTCGAGAGCGAGGACATGATGTAATCACGCAACCCAACGAAATAACAAGCTGAGCCTCGTAACTATATGATCAATAATCTCAGCTTGAGCATAGAGTTCAATAAGTCTAACTCGCTAGAATGTTAACGACTCAAGTTCAAGCTCACTTATAATGTGCACCTCAAAATATAATATTATATGATAATAATAGTAATAATTCAAAATAAAGGGCTAATTAACAATTGAAATAACACTGCAATTATGCAACTACAAAGTAATTTAGTACATTATTTGCCTTTGATCTATCTACTAATATTTATATTTAATTTCTTAATCCTTGTTTTTATAATGGTGATAGCATTATGCTTAACCCCCTCATTTGATGGGTTTTGCTCAATTTCATGGCTCAAGCCAGTAGGTGAATCTTGGTTTCAAGAAAAGGGCAAATAGACATCATAAGCAAAAATCCTCAACATCTCTTGTTAGTATTAACAAATAAAATATTTTTGTGATACATTCGATGAGTGCCATTTCGTAGAGCCATTTTTGGCAAAAAAAAAGAAAAATTAGTTAGTTTTCCTTAGCTAGTTGATATGCTTATTAGGGTGATAAAAACCACCATATAGAAGAATAAAAGAAGAAATTAAGGTTTCGTTTGGACTAGCTTTCTTCCTACTTCTTAAAGCAATTTTTTTACTTTAAGAAGCAGTAAAAAAGTCATCCCAAACGAAGCTTAAATGGTTCGGTAGTCTTGTTCCTTCATGCATTGAATAGGAAAGCAATGGTTCCACTATAATTAATGATAATACACGGTTGATTTCTTCTCTAAGAACGAGGAGATTGCAAATTATAGGAGCTTCGCATATTATTATCGAAGTGTTTCCCTTTATGTAAAGACCAAAAGTTAGCCTGCTTATATGTATGGGTCATATTATAAGGTCCCCATAGCTGAAGGCATTATGCGAGAGCATGCTAACAATGTTTAAATGAATTTGATTGTAGATGCTATACTAAACTCTTATTATTTGGAATTGTATGGGGAAATAGGCATCGTCGCCCGAATGCAATTCTCTCACCTTTATCAACTATCTATAATGTCTTGATCACCATCGCCCGACTATGGCCCTTTGTCCATTGTTGTCGTGCTATGATCCTCCAATTATCATCATTCAATCACAGTCTCTTGACCACCATCGCATAATTACAGCTCTCTGACTACCATTGCTTCATTATAGTCCTATGATCATTATCACCTAACAACTATCCTTTAACTATCACCGTCAACTAACCACTATCTCTCAACAATAGTCTTAATTATGACCAACATTTCCTAATTAATGTCCACTTGTCTATGATCCTCTGATCATAGTCTTCTAATCACCATCATTCTAAGTATATATCAAAATTGGGTTGAGATGTTCTAATAACTATCATATCTTAGTTTTTTTTTTCCATTGTATGTCATATCAATTTTTTTTCTATGAAATTATGCTATTTCCCAATGGATTCATCAGTCAAGTCAAGTCAAATTAAGTACTATTCTTATACTATTTGAATCATTCAGGATCCTTATTCACTTGGGTGGGTCACCTTTGATTGGACCTAGACCTTATCAATTTGGTATCCTATAATCTCTCAATATTTTTTATGAACTCATTTCACCATCTTCCCTGCCTAAAAGTCATTATCATTTTCTTGCAATCAATGTTTAACTCAAAATAAAAAATAAAAATATAAATAAAAAAAATCACCTCCTCCTTATAAGAAATTAATTCCGCACAATCATTTTAAAAATATATATCTAAATAATTACAAGTGGCAAAATCTCAACAACTAAACAAAAAACGCCACCCACCCATCTTTTTCCCATATAAAATCCACCCATAAACATGACCTATTCATCTTCTTCATCAACCCCCTTCTTCTTCTCCCCCTTCTTCTTCATGCCAACCTCTTCTTCCACATCCATCCACCTCTCCTCCTCCCACTCCATTAACAGAGCAAGAACAAACTCCATGAGATCACATCCTGAACCACCCAAATCTTCTCCCCAATCCAACGGCTCCTCAAGAAAGAAGGAGACAAAGGCTTCCAACGCCGCCGTAAGATACACCGAGTGCCGGAAAAACCACGCCGCCAGCATCGGAGGCTACGCCGTCGACGGCTGTCGTGAGTTCATGGCTTCCGGCGAGGAGGGCACCGCCGCCGCCCTCCGCTGCGCCGCCTGCAACTGCCATCGTAGCTTCCACAAACGGGAAGTCGACGACGAACCTCCCCATCTCTGTGACTACTCCTCCACCTCCTCCTCCTCCCACCGGTGATCCCCAGCCACCTATCCAATTATGATTGCTTGATTCCTTCATCACTTGTGTTTGTCAGTATAAAGAGAAATGGTTAATTCATTATATTTAGGATATTTATTAGTATAATTAAGCATTGTTAAATAATTTTCTTATAACATTGAGAGAGTGAGTGGTTTCTTTCTTCCATTTGAAGCTTTCCATACTGTAGCATTTGGTGTGTGTATATGGATGATAAGTACTAAATGAGCTTAGCTATGTATTAATCTATATTAATCTGTATTGATTCTCACTCAGTATCAGTTATACAGATCAATTAATATGGACTAATACGAAACAAGAGCACAGATCCAAAGCACAGAAAATTCAGAAGCTTTGCTCATTTAACAATTTCCTCCTGTTTTTGGTTGTTTCTGTAAGTGTTAGTGATCATGTAAGTGTCTTTGCTGTATTGCCTTTACTGTCTTATCTTGAATTATAATTTGCATAAATATTTTTTTTTTCATGAATTAATTTAATGAAAATGTGATTTTTCTCTTCCCTCTTGTGTGAAATGATGATCTCCAACTTCATATATATTTTTTAATAATATAATTAAAAATAATTTTACAAAAATTTATCTGATTGTGGTGAAATTAAGAAGAAAAGAAATTTAATATTTTAAATCTGACCTGCAATAATGATTCTTATATATATTAAGCATCACCTAGCAGTAGCGAGCTGGAGGATCTTTCTAAGGACTGTGTAACCGAATTTTTCTTATTATCGCGTAGGCCCCTCAGCGGGTTTTAACAAAAAAAAAAAAAAAGCATCACCTAATAGACCTTTATATATACTTGCTTTCATCAAGACAGCCTTAGATGATGAATGTGATTAATATTCAAATGGCAAATGGCTGATTTCTTTGGTGTTTTTTATTCAATGGATGCTTTGTTACTTCAATTGTTAATTACATAGCATGTGATTGTGTACTATATTTTAGGCAGCGACCGATCTAGGAAGTGCTCAAGGTGGGTATTTGTCAACTCTGGAATTTTTTTCCCCTTAGCAGAATAAGCATTTTAACTATTTTACATCCCCCTCTTAATAAATGCATTTGCACAAAATTTTTATAAAAAATTTCTTTTCTATTTCACCCTAAAATTATGCACGTTCTAATTCTATTTTCCCCACTCTTAAAAAAGAGAATGATTCCACCTTGATTTTAGGCTTTATCAAGGGCGGAATTTCTTAACAAGTGACTAGTTTTTAGGAGTTTTCGTGCCATCAATTTATCATTTTGACCCTTTCTCATAAAAAAATGCCCAATTTAACCCTCTACTTAAAATAAATTGACTAATTAATTAAAATTAAAACTCATAACTTTTACACTCTTACATACTTTATTGGTATTATTTTACTAATGTTTTTCATTTTTCATATATATATATATATATATATAAAGGCTATAAAGTCTTTTTAGATGTGGAGGTAATATATTATTTTATCTTGCCTTCAGTCCCATGAGAATATTTTTGTTTTAGGCTTGGAAAAGTCTCTATCTGTTGAATCTAATTCCATTGAATGTAGACTATGAAAACTTTCAAAACTATTTTCATTATATAGAAATGTGATCGTTACTTCTCACAATTTCTTGAGCACATATTTCATGTAATTATTTATTTGTATAAGAAAATATAAAGGAATTTAAAATTAAAGGAAATTATGATAAATAGAGCATAATTAATCATTACATAATTAAAACTATATGGGCCTAAATCTAATTAGCACTTAATTATAATTAGCTTATATGAAATTTATGAGATTTTTTATTGTGACTGTGAATGTGAACAAATCACATACAAATCATTTTTTAAATAAAAAATTTCAAATCAAAAGAAATTACTAATTAAATTAACTTATATTGAATTTAATAGAGGAAAAATTAAGAGGAGACTTATTTTATTCCAAATTTGAACAAAAAAATTAGCATATCATAAAGAGTAATTAATTAACACCTCACTAATTAAGTAAATCCTTCTGAATATTATCTCTCTCATCAATTCAAATTGAAAATGTACAGATTTGAAGAATTAATAGTATTGAATAAAATTGAAGCCAAGTTGGTCCCCTCAAACAGGAGAATAAATGTTATCAGGCATACAGATTTAAACCTCTTTCTTCAACAATTGAAATACCAGAAATATCTGCAGCTTCTGTCTACTCACAAAAGGGATTTTTTTTTATTGAATTTTAATATATTTTTTAGGAATTAATATTTATGATATAATTAGTAATAATGACATGTGACTAATAATTTAGCTCCTCACAAAAGGAAAGCCTGATTGATTTAATTTCTTTTTTATATATTAAAATAAATAATAATAATGAGCTAGGCAAGTTTTTCATCTTACATATTGCAAAATATATATATATATATAGCAAATATTTAATGTAAATTTCCCTTTTTTTTCATAATAAGCATTCAATTTATTTAATTTTCTTAAAATATTCATATATTTTTTGCATTTTTATTGCAAAAATTCCCAACTCCAGCTCCAGCACCATAAAGACATAAACCAAACTGTCCAGCACTCCATGTGCAATGATCTTAGTACTGTATCTTGAGAAGCTTTACTGTGCCCTTGCATTCATCAGGGGGTTCAAGCTTCAAGTAGAATCCCTTGCATGCACTTTTTGTCTTAATGAAACAGAAAAAAAATGAAAAAAACATGAATAATCTCTTATGCAGAAGTTAGTTTTCTGTGAACAATCATGTACATATATCTTCTTTAGCTAAAAAGTTTATTTCAGACTGTCCCTGACAGACTACAGCTTACTAATTTTGATCAAATTCAGAGATCTTCTTTGAAAGCTGCTTTCTTTCATAATCACGAAAAAGAATTATATTCCATCTATGCAGATTCTATCTAGCAAAATCTTCTAGGGTTTTACTTTATGTCTCAGCTCAATTATTACTGAAACATTTAGTATTGAGCCAAAAGTGGGTGATGATCATGTTGTTGAAATGGGTTCACCTACCATGCTTGACTAAAATGGCCTGTGAATCCCAATGAAAAAAATAAAATGAAAGAGGGAAAACTCTTTAGGAACAAAAGAAGACAGATGAACAGTAATGCAATTACATGTAAGAAGTTTTTGATGAGGTAGTAAGGGAATTAAATCTTGCAGGATTACTTCAGAATTCTTATTTCACTGCATAAATGTCATCTGTTCATTTGTCTCTAATTTTTTTGTGTAGCTATAATGACAATCACTACAGGAAAATCTGTCATTAACGGTGGATTACACGGCTGCCCGCCCGCTTCCCTCCCACGCTACCTGGGATCGATTGCCCGTGCTGCCTGCCGCGTGAAGGCCATGGGATTCGAACTGAGTTCAAAATATATTCCAAAGTCCCAACCAATTTGCAAGAAGGTCAAATGCCTTAAAACTACTATATTTTTTTAATTTAATATATCCTAATATATCCCAAACAAAAATTAGAATTGATACGTCATGCAAAAATTATCTTGATTGGGCACGAATCTCGAGGCAAAATCAGTTCGGAAACTTCAAAAATTAATTTTGGTAGCATATGAACTCCGATTTCAGCGAGCTTATAGTCAAACTGAGCGTCTCGAAAATACGAACCCAACGATTCCAAGATCAACCCAATCCAAGCCCAAATGAGTCTGAATCAAGGGTTCAAAGCGCTGTTGGAAGGTTCAAACTGCAATTTGAGTTACCAAACGGTCTCCGATTTTGACGAGCTTATACTCGAATCGAACGGCTCGACGAGACGAATCCATAATAAAAATAGACTATAAAATTATTAATTAATTAAATTAAGGATATATGATTTTTTTAGAAATTATTAAAAGCCGACGGAAAATCAGTCGGAAAATTTGCTAGAAATAAATCCGCCAGAAAGCCGCTGAAAATCTGACGAAAAATCATTTGGAGATATTTCATTGTAAACCACCGGAAAGCCATTGGAAAATAGTCTGCCTGAAAGCCACCGATAATGGACGATTTTCCTGTAGTAATTTATGTCAATAATGTTACTAAAAATTGCTAAGAAGTCAAAACTTGAATTGAATATTATGTCAAAAACATTATTATATAGCTTTAATCACGCATTTCTATATAGAAAACTTTTAATCGTCAATAGTTTTATAAAATAAGATTTTATTCATATAATTAATCAGCACAATTCTTCAGCTATGAATATATATAAGCTATGTGCTCAAATTGATGACTTTAATTAAGATTTGAAAAAAGAATCATGATAAAAACTAAATATTTTTAGTCATATTTAAATCATGCATGTGTGGTTATATCATAAAATTCTTACCACGTATTGTTTAAATATGCTTAAACACTTTGATTTTATCATATTTCTCTGTCTGTCTCTCTCATATGAACTTCTCGCAGAGCCAGCAGAGGACAGATTTGGTGGTCCAAATTGCCAGCCAAACATAAGGGAGACGTTAGAGCTCTTCTGTAATCCAAATCTAACCACAAAGCACCCAAGCAGGTTGGCTGGCTACTGTGTTTGGATAGAAAGCAAAGGTACTTAAAGACTTGAGGTGGGACACTTAAATATCCTAAGGCCACCCCCACTTTCCTCTTTGTGACTTCTGGAAAGCAACCACTGATTAGTAGGTGCATGAAAATGACTTGAAACTGACATGGAAGTTAGGGAAAACGGATGAGCTAACTTAGTGGCTTTTCAATTAGGACTAGGCCCCAATGTCTTCTAGGCTGGCCTAATTCATGGCTTGAGATCCATGTGCTCGGTCCCCGTCGGCTCCCACCTATAATTTATTCAACAGTGTTTGGCTTCATCGTGTTGATTAAGTTTGAACGATCAATTTAGGACGAGCGATATGACTCACCAGACCCAACCTATTAGCTCGATGGCATTTTCAAATTCTATTTCAGCTTTTTGTGGGGTCAACCGTTCTTTGATTGATTCAAATAGTATGCGGATTTTAGTAAAGCGCTAATATATCATTAATAATATATGAGATTTACATACATCATATAATTCTAATGCATACAAAACTAATTAGTCTCATCAAATTAAACACGTGCATGAAAAATTGTATTTCTCATAATTAGAAAGGTTAATATTTATTTACATGATTTAATTATTTAAGTGATATAAATAAATTTCAAAGTTAAGATGCTATATAATTTTATAAAAATTTTATGGCATGGATGTAAATTGCCCATATAGTATATATGCTTGAGATTAACTATGATTTTTTTAAGGAAAGAGGCTCATATTAGTAAGGGAGAAAGTTTACGCATTACTGCTTCTATTGATTTGTAGGAGCCAATTTGTTTAAGATGTAATTGAAAGAAAGTAGTTTAGAGTTTATAAAGAGTATTTTAGTTTATATGTTTTTGTACAAAATTAATCACTTTGTGTTAATTATATTTTGTATTTATTTATTTTAGTTGTGATGAGTTTTATTTTCATCTAAGTATATAGCACTTATTTCAAAGTAAAATTAATAATTTTTAGATC